AACAACTGCTGTGATTCCTCTTCTTGTTTCTTTTCTTTTTCCTCCAACAACTGCTGTGATTCCTCTTCTTGTTTCTTTTCTTTTTCCTTCGACAACTGCTGTAATCTCTCTTGTTTCTTTTCTAGTTCTTCTTGTTTCTTTTGCTGCTCTTGTACAGCTGCCATTAAATCTGCTAAGCTGTAGTTTGATTTGCCGCTTCTCGTTTCCTGGTTGTTTGTTAATTTCCCATATAATTTCTTTCGGATGAAACTTTAGCGATATTTTCTTAAATAAAACGGGTTTATTCTTTCTCAATACAACTTTGCCATACACTTAATTTCCAGAGTTACTTTAACTTAAACACACGCTATAATTCACAACGATTCACGTACTTTACTTATGGTCACAACCGCGCTTGACTCAATTGTCCGTCTCTATTTCTCTCTGTCTCTGTTTCAATTTCCGATTAATTTGTCGCGCTTTATCTGGCGCGCTTATATACAGGATTAGAGGGCGTCTAGCAAATACTGGATTATTTGTGATGCTCCCCGAACCTTCTAGATACTCATTACTTGATACCAGCGTCACGTGAATTCCGCTGTTGTAGCAATATGGAATGTCTAAGAGGTGAAATACAGACATGCTTCGAATACCGAATAAGGAGCTAATGAGAATTTAACAATATCTCTACTTGGATTGTCTGAGAATTATCTTGTGGGCCTCAACTCATTAGTAAATATTGAAATATATAAAAATGTAATTACATGAGTAGAGGTTATATAACTCATAGCTCGCATATACGTTTCATGTGGTGAAATACTGGAGAGATTGTTAAACAAACACGAATAAAAAATATTTTAAAAACCAAAACAAAGGTCGTGTACGATGAAAAGAACAATATGTATTACAATATAGTTACGGTAAGAGGTACGTAAGAACACCTTCAGAAAACAATTATCACTATTCAAATCTTTCAAAATAAGTTGGACACGCAATTTTCACAAAATTCGTTTACAATGGCGACCAATTCTAGTTTTGCATCATACTTTTTGTGAATATTAAGGACAGCTAAAGCATTAAGCCTTGTAGATGTCATACTGGATCGAAACCAGCTTTGTAGCCTCTGTAAAGCTGAAAAAGACCATTGTGACGAGGCGTTAGTAGTTGGACTTACCAGAAGAAGCCGTACTATCGTAGAGATTTCTTTGGCTGCAAGTAATGTAGGATATGAGGCAGCTTTAATTAAGGTAGTAAACTATATTTTTCATAGAGATATGATCCAGTAGGACCTCTTCTTTACTGATCCAATTTCTCATCATCACTTGAAAAATAGACACCTGAACATCGAAAACAAACATATCATTGGCTTTGCTTTTCAGTTGAATGGGCGAAGGGCTGACAGTGTAGAAAAGTAAGTATACTTATCAACAACTTTCCATTTTCAGTTGAACCCGGCGGATCAGCGGTACATTTACCGACTTCATATGCTAAAATCGGGGGCTCGAATCACGACAGAATGCAGATGGTCAATTTTATAAATTTCCATTTCATCTCTTTTCTTTTCTGAAATCACATCCACTTTTGTCTTCTTACTTGCATAATTAATGTACAAGTATAAGAATGATACAATTATTTATCAAACCACAGATGTGTAAGTATTGTTACGACAGCGGGAGTCACGTGACGCTGGTAACATGAATCTCTCGAATGATCATGAATTATCGGGGAAGACCGAGTTTGTTCAGGTCGCCCTCTTTTTTTAGTATATAAGCCTGGCAAAAAAAGCCTGCGGGATTGAATGAAGAGAGTTCCGGGTAATTTACGATTCCATATTGAACTAGTGTGTGTTTTGTTATCGAGATGGTGAATCGCTGTGATTTATAGCGTGTATTAAAAGTAGTTAATTTAAAGTGACGAGAAACGTAGTGATTGTGAAATTACTGTGTACTAAAAGTTTGTAACGAGAAAGAATAAACTGGTTTAATCCAGAAAGGACTTATATCGCTGAAGTTCATCGGAAAGAATTTCTACCGGAAATTAACAAACGACCAGAGACGTAACAAATTGGTGTCAGAGAGTGGGATGGAGAAGAAAAAAGAAGATGGAAACGAAAAGTGGCAAATCAAACTACAGCTTAGCAGATTTGATGGCAGCAATACAAGAACAGCAAAATAAACAAGAAGAACGAGAAAAGAAACAAGAAGAGAGATTACAGCAGTTGTTGGAGGAAAAAGAAAAGTTTCCTAAATAAAATTAATATAACGGAATATATCTCATAAGTTGAATATAAACAGACTTAATTATATCCTTTTAAAGGATAAATTAATAATTAATTAATAAAATAAAAAAATCCTACAATGAACAAATACAGAGGCACATCTCCCCAGTCATTTTTAATCTTATGCACTTTTCATAGTTATTCAACTTTTTTTTTCTGTTCAAACAGCCTACCCCCTCCCCAAGTGGGACAGCGGTATGTCTGCAGAGTTACAACGCTAGAAACTGGGTTTCGATACCCGTGATGAGCAGAGCACAGTTAGCCCATTGTGTAGCTTTGTGTTTAACTTCAAACAAACTGCTCAACCATAAATGATATTCTGTCAATTAACGGTGATTGATATATACAAGCGAAAGTAACCATTATCAATTGTAGAATTTAAATACATTGTTATATTGTTGAATGTTGATTTAAATACCAAAACGTTCTTTACCGTTAAACGTACTGCACTTGAGAATGATCGCATCAATAACGGAAACGTCGTACTCGTTTTACGATATTGTTGCGACAGCGAGGTCACGTGACTAGTATCACGCCACTTCTTTCTCGAACCTTCGTGAATTGTCGGGAGATTACTAGATTGGGGGTAGTGTGGTATATATAAGATGGTCACAACGTGACGGTACAATGTGTAGGTAATGAGTAATTGAACTGCAGTCAGAGAATGTGTAATTGAACTGAGTATTGTCGAGCACGAGAGACGTGAGAATTATAGAGTTGTTATAGAGCGACTGTTGAAGTTAAGTGTATCGGTAAAGTTGTATTCGGAAAGAATAAACCAGTTTTATTTAAGAAAGGACTTGTGTCGCTAAAGTTTCGTCGGAACAAATTTACGGAAAATTAACTAACGAACCGAGACGTAACAATATTCTTCCTTTCTGTAAAAACTGTAATTTGTAAGAAAATAATACTGTCGTTGTGTGTTTGATAATGAATTGTCATACAAATTAGTTGGTTCATCAAACTAATTATTATACACATTTAAGTCTCTGTTACATGTCTTTATAATTATACTTTATAGTAAATGTACATTTGTTTGAGTTAAATATATTAATCTTTAAAGTGGAATCTATGCTTTGAAACCAATTAGTCGTTTTACTTGCAATTATAACTTCCGCTTCGTCAGATCGCGTATCACGAGCTATTTGCGTGAATGAGGTGTGGTAATCCTAACCGTTGCCACTGTCAGCGAGATAGTAGAGGTTTAAGACTACTGTATATTGGTAAGTTCTGATGAATTAAGTACAAAATAGATAATTATATAACCATAAATGTGATATGTTATCCCAAAAGTAAATTTTTGAAGTAGTTAATACAAGTTCATCACATTTTATTTTATAATCTATACAATAAAATAGAAATTCACTGAAATTTTCAGTGAAAAATCGAAATTGATCACATTTCAACTTCAACTTTCAGCTCTATTTCGGTCTTTACGGCTTCAGACCATGAATCTATGAATATGAGTCAAGTTCAAGCTCTTTAACAGTTTAACTTAATTTTAGTCAATAAATTTCAAAGTCAGTCTAACAACATTTAATTTGTAATTGTATGTGTTTATTTTCTATTAATTAATAAGCTTAACTTGATAGTTGAATAATATTAATAGCCTGTGTTACTGTTACTTTAACTTTTATTTTTAAGTTTAGTTTAGACAGTACATACCATTACCAATACTACATCACCAATGAATAGAATATTTAATGTTTTAACTTTAGAGTTAAATTAAAGACTAGTAAAGTTTAGTTTTAGTAAGAGTTTTTCTAATATAGTATAACCGCGTATGCACTTGAAGTTAAGACTGCTCATCGTTGCACCATATGCTATATTACTAGGCTTGTTATGATTAGGCTTAACGAATCTCTGGACATGTATTATTAATAGTAATATAATGAAAATTCAAAATCTTTAAATATTTAAGGTAAACATATTCCTTGTAGAAAAAAAGGGGGGATGATTGTAAGTAAAAAAAAACCAAGTTGACGTACAAAAAGTATAACTATAAAAGATAAAATTAAGGAAAAGCCTAATAAATATAAGTTTAAATTGATTGTTATTGTTACAACTTACAAGTTACAGTGCTTGTGCTGTTGTGTGCTAATGCATGAGCCCTAGATGATTATAGAAAATCAAGGAAGTTGGTCAAACAGGAAATTGGGAAATGGAAGAAGATATATGAAAAAAAGATTGGCTGAAGATAGAAATTAACAGTAAGGATTAAAAAATATATATATTAAGGGTAAACAAACTGTTAAGATGGGAGCAAGATTTTTGTGGGATAATAAGAGGAGGACTTGTATCTGGTGGTTGTGAGTTGGCTTGGTTTTAACATTATATCTTTTTCTTGTATTTTAACTAATGAAAATTTTAAGCATTCCTAGATGGAAACAAGATCAAACAAGATTCTCATTAATTATGAGTTGTTAAGAAAAGGTTTTCAAAGTTTGAAGAATGATAAGGCTCCTGGGCCAGATATTTTCTTGGGGTTTTTCAAAGAGATTAATGATTGAATATATGAGCCACTTTGTACTATATTTTTGGAAGTACTTGAATAGTGGAAGGTGCCAGAGGGCTGGAAGTTAGCTAATGTTATTCCTATTTTGAAGGGTGGTGATAGAAATTGTCCTGGTAATTATATGTCTATTAATCTTACATCATTATTGAGAAAGTCTGATAAAAGATGCTTTGAAAAGCCAATAAATGAAGTTTAAAATTATGTTGGACAGTCAACATTTCTTCATTAGGGAAAAATTTTGCCTTACTAATCTTTTGACAATCTTTTAAGAAGTTACTGCTTATGTAAATGATGTTAAAGGTGTAGATTGGGTGTATATGGATATTAATAAAGCATTTAATAAAATGCCACTTAAAAACTTTGTTAAAAAAAACTAATCTCTAAAGATGTGGAGGGGCAAGTTGGCTCATTCAAATGAAAAGTGGTTGGATGGAAGAAAGCAGAAGGTTGTTATAAATGGATTTCAGTCAAACTGGATTAATGTCACAAGTGGCTACCTCAGTGCTCAGTTTTAGGACCTTTTTTTCTTTTTGATTTACATCAGTGACATATACGAAGGAATGTCCAATAAATTACTTAAATTTCCTCATGACATTAAGGTCTTGTGTATTGCTGACTGTGAGGAAGATGCTGCTGCTGCTTTGCAAAAGAAATTCGATCATTTGGTGAGTTGGGCAAATAAATGGCAGGTGCCTTCTGATTACAAGAAATGCAAGGTGATGTATGTGAGTTATCTCAATTTGAATTCTAAATATAATTTTGATGGGGAATAACTTTAACAGTGTTCTGCATCTTAGTGTTCTGTTGATCAGTTTCATAAGACATCCAAGCAATGTGTTGTTGCTAGTGATAGAGGAGCAAACATTTGATACATGTCTAAACAGATTATAATTTCATTGTATAGGTCTATGGTTTGGCCTCATTTGGATTTCTGTGTTCAATCACAAGTTCCATACTTTAGAAAGGACATTAAATTGTTGGAAAGGATTCAAGAGTAAGGCTATTGTGATGGAAACATATTCAGAAAAGGATAGGTTAAGGTCTTTAAAATTGTTTAATTGTGTAAAATTAGAAATTGATTCAAGTGATTAAAGCAGTGGTTTCCAAACTTTTTCCATTCACAACACCCTAACCCACTTACCAAGAGTTTTGTGACACCCTCACTTCCTCGTAATTTTTTTTTTTTTTGTAGTTTATTTTTATGTTCTTAATTATTCTTCATTTGGTAAAACTCTTGTGACACCCCTAGTTACTTGCCATATCACTAGTGTGTTGTGACACACCGTTTGGAAACAATTAGTGTAAAGATTAAGGGAATTCATAGTGTTGGTGCGTATTTTTTTGTATTTAATGGTGACAATAGTAGGACCATGGGACAAAAATATTAATTTTTACAGGGCAGGAATCATCTTCAGCTAAGACAGTTTTACTTTTCAAACACAGCAGTTGGCCTTTGGAATGGATTACCCTCAGATGTGTTGGAGGCAATAAATTTAATGTTAACGGATGGCTTGGTAAATATTTCAATGAGATTTTTTTGAAGTTTAATTTAACCCTGTCGAGATGGGTAGGGGGTCAAAGGGCATGTCATCACGTTTGTAGATTTACATTCCACATTTTATTTTGCTATTATTTTATAAACATATGTCTATAAGTATGGTATCAAACTGCAGATTATAATACTAATTTTAATGTTATACATTAGATAGTTTCTTAAGTTGAAACTAAACATTAAAAAAAAAAAAGGCTAAATATCAATTTTTGTGTGTCACGTGGTATGTGACCTTCTGGGTTTGGTCAGATTACATTTTATGTAATCTATATTTACATAAATATATCTACATTTACATATATCTACATTTTTTTTCTACTTCAGCCGCTAACAGTATAATAACAATAGAAAATAGGTGTAAAAAGATTAGAAGAAACTCTCAGAAGATTTACTTGGAACTTTACTGTCCATACTGAAAAGAACAGAATACTATTCATTTTGTTCTCATTTCTAACTCACCTACTAGCAATAAAATAACTAGAGAAAATAAGTGTGAAAAGGTGAGACGTTAACTCTGACCATAAGTACTTTGAAATTTTGTAATTACTACTAACAATACTATAATTTTTTTTTGTAACCTTTATTTTCATTATACTTTGATTACGTACTTAAAACATACAGAAATACATATAATGTTATAGTAGAAAAAATAACAAATAAAATACAAAGCTTTACTGAAAATAAAAATTTGATATTTATTTATGAGTTTTTTTAGTTTCTATTTGTTTTAACTGTTTATTAAAGTAACTAAAATCATAAAAATCAAAGTTGTTAGGTAAGAAAATGAAAGAAAAATAGTAAAAAACCGTCATGGGGTATACGAGCCAGAAGCTTCTGCATTACTCTGTTTCGTAGGGTCATGCCGATGCACATGCGCTATGTAATTTTCAACTTCTGTCAGGGTATTTTTAGTCGGACACGGTTTAAAGGACAATAAAACAAAAATTAATAAATATAAATAGATTAATACTGTTAAGAGATTTAAGCTATTTAGAATAAACATTTGTGGTTTCCTATTACAATTTGCAATTATTCTAGAACATAAAAGTAATTCAGATTTATTTCCTGATTTATATGATGGTTACAAGGTTGGTCAAATCAATCAACACCATATAGAGTTAATATTGATAAAATAACAGAATAAGTATAAAAGATGTAAAATGATCAAACTCAGAATTTTCATTGTTAGTTGTCACTGTTGAAACACTGACCCATTTTCAATTATGCACACATAGGCCTAAGCCTAAAGTTAGACAGACACGACCAATTGAGTCAAGGAAGGAGATAAGGCCTAGCTACCAGAAGAAAAGTGGGAAAATCCATGAGTTAAACAAAACATAATAAGGATAACATCAAACACAGTTTTATGAAAGTATGAAACAGAATAACAATAAATAAAATAAGGCTAGTTTTGCCTCTCTCCAAGTCAATACAAGCTACAAGTATAAATGACAGTACATATCAGCGGTGTGTGTACATGTGCAGCGCTCAAGCATTGTGTACGTATTATGGTATAGTAGTGTGTATGTGCGAATTTCAATGCAAAAATAAAAATCTGTAACAGGGATTAATTTTTAAATGAAAGAAACTTTTCCAAACTTTTGTGCTCTGGGATATTAATATCCCCCTTTGCCCTGCTCAAGATAAACTATTTGATGAGTTAGTGAACTTAAATTCTCAGAGATTGATTGGTTGTTTCACTATGGTGGATTTGAAGTCTAGAAATTGGAGAAATGTCTGAAAGCAGAGAGAAGATCAAGGAAGATGACATTGTTGAAGAGAAGAAGCATTGCGACAAACCACATCATAACAAATATCCCACTATCAGGGTCACCAGGTGGCTGGGATTTGTAAATCCAATGCCAAGGCTAAAATCGTTAAATTCAAGTGCCGTAAACTTTGATGTGGGGGGGGGGGTAAATAGGAATGCTCTGAGAAAACCAACTTTCACTGGACAGACATATAATTAGTTTACCTGTCCTGTGCCCAAGCTAAAATGATAAAACAACTGATCTTCATGTGTACTGTTTGAATGTATTTATGTTACTTTGGATGCTAAGTACTTATTGTATGGGGAAATTTTTTTATGTGAGATGCTTGTCGTAGTATAAAGGACAACTGTTTCTTGTTTCTGCTTTTCTACAGTGGTTGAAAGCTAAAGATGTTAACCTTTCATTGATTAATTGTATGTTGCATGTTTTGTATGGGCTCAGTAGACAATGTACTTACTATGAAGGAATCGAAAACAAAGAAAAGAAAGAATGATGAATTAAGGAGATGGCAACAAGCAGAACAAGAAGAGAAAATACTGAATGAGAGAGTTGATTGGAGCTATGACAGTGCTGACAGTAATGAGAAAGACGATACAGATAATGATTTTGCAGAGATAAACAGAATGATACAAGAACCATCTTCTTCTCAGCCTAAAAAGAGGGCAAGAAAAAGTATCATAGACCACGAGTTGGTTGCTACTGTGGACAGAACCAAGCTGTCAGACAAAAAAGCAACATTCAAGAGCCTTGGTCATGACGTTCAGGATTTGACAATCAAACCGATAAACAAGACATAATCTTCATCAGGATATATCCAAAAATCTGAAGCAATTGTTCAAACTAAACACTCCCTAGTTGTTCATGGGGATGGAAAACTTCTCAGCGACCTCACTGGAAAAGAACAAGTAGACTGCTTTCCAGTTATCATGTCTGGATTAGAACTCAATCAACTTTGGAATACCAAAGTTGGTTTCTGGGACTGGCGAGGCTCAGGCTGCTGCTGTGACTAGGCTACTAGAAGACTGGGGAGTACAGAATCTCATTAAGACAGTATGTTTTGATACAACGGCCACAAATACTAGTAAAAAAAATGGCACTTGTGCATTACTTGAAGCAAAATTGGATTGAAATCTACTCTACTTTGCATGTTTACATCACATACTTGAATGTCAGGACCAGATGTTGCAATCTTCAAGCGGTTCCAGCAGCACTGGAAATTCATTGATCGTTCAAATTACCAAACTGAAGAAAACAGTGTAGATCTAAAAAAACATTATTGCAGACAGCAAAGATGGAGTCATGAATTTCACCACAAAACAGCTTGAAAAGTTCCAACCTAGAGATGACTGCAGAGAGTTCCTGGAACTTATCACCAGGTGCTGTACATCATGCTCAATGGATGGCCAAAGCCTTGTATGTGCTCAAAATCTACATATTCGATAATCAGTTCAGACTGGCTGCACATGAAAGCAGAGGAATTTGTGATGTTTGTATGTTCTTAGTTTGTCTTTACATTAGGGCTTGGTTCACTGCTCCTGTTGCAATCTCTGCTCCTCAAAGTGTTCTGACATTTCTTCAGAGTCTAAAGAAATATGAAGAAAACAACCCAACCATATGGAAATCAGCTTCAAAGAAATTTACTGGGCATTTGTTGTATCTTAGTGAAGGGTTGATAGCCTTGGCTTTTTTTACCCAAATATACCATCATATACAAAGCGGGCCATGATATAAGCAATGAATGAACATGAACTTCATGAAGGTACCTCAATCCACTAAAGCGGATCAAAATTAACACCAACACAGTACAACAAAAGTCCCTACCAGATTTTGTGACAAAAAATACCCTCAATTTTTTAGATGCCTGGAACTTTCAACGAATTTCTGTGATGTGGATCCTGAATTGTGGAGTCTCAGAAATGACTACAAAGTAGCATTTGAAGTTGTGCAGAGTCTGAAAGAGGTCAGTAATACAGCTGAAAGGAGTGTTGTACTCATTGAAGAGTATAACTAATTGCTTACCAATGATGAAGATCAAAAGCAGTATCTATTCAAGTTGATCAAGATCACAGGCATCACTTCCCTGTTTCAAACAAAGAAACCCTGAAAAAGTTACTCGTAAAATGGCACAAATATCATGATTACTAACTACAACATTAAAATGATGGTCATGGGTTATACTGACATTTTAATTTGGCCATAAAAAACTGGTTTTTCATATTTTATTAAATTTTGTTCTTTTGTAAAGTAGGAATAACTTCAAGGAGCCAATAAAATATTATTTGTTAAGGTTTATTATTGTTTTCTTTTATCTTATTATCATTCTGTAATAGACTCAGAACAGTCAATGAAGTTGTATTCTAAAAATTTTTAAAAGCCTTGAGCAACCACTAAATATTTCATAACATGCTCAAAATTTTGCCTGCTAAGTTTTCTTGTACAGTCAAACAAATCTGAAAGGTGAATGTTTACAAATTCCAAACTTTAAAATTTTATCCCAATTTAAAGACCAGTAAATTCACTGTGAAATTGACAAAATTAACGTGCATGTGGTTTTTGTGTTGTTATGTACCGCTGAGCAGGTTAGGTGTTGTTTGATGTGGGTGGATGTGGTGTTAACTGTGGCAGTGAAAGTGAATGGTTTGTGTTTTGTTTAGTGTTTGTTGTCTTTGTAGTTGTAACAGAATGGGTTGAACTGTGTAGGTGGTTGAACAGTTTCTGTGTTGGGGGTTGGTGTTGGAAGCAGTTGGGCTCTTGTTTGTTGTGGTGAGAATGTACATGTAGGAGTGAAAGTCAGTGTAGGTGCTGGGAGTTGTGGAATTGTAGCTTGTAGTGAGGTGAGGTTGAGTCTGTTTCTGTTAGCCTGATATTTGGGGCACGCTATGTAGCTTGCAGTGTGTAGGCCTTGGCAACTTGCACATTTTACTGCATCTTGCTGGTTGGGGTAATTCTCAACCATGTGTGGGCTAGAGCATCTAACACACCTAGGGTTAGCAGTGCAGTTGGGTTTCAAGTGCCCAAATCTTTGCCATTTGAAGCACTGTAGGGCCAACTTTGGTGGGAGTTTTGCACCCTTGATTTTATACTTAGTGAAAAATAGCATGCAGCCATTGTAGAGTAAAGAGTTGTAGTGTTCTTTGTTTTCAAAACTAACTAACCAGTGGTGGTTTTTCCTTTGTTTTAAATAAAATGGTCCTCCCTGCTCTTTTTGGAGGCAGTCCTAAGGCTTCCAGCTCTTCATGGATTTCTTTGTCTTCATTTTTGTGGTGTATGACTAATTACCAGTGTGTGTAGCTGGAAGGTATTTGAAAGAGTGTGAATTGGTGAGCTGCCTCCTAGTGCCATAGTGGGCCAATGGGCTAGTAAGTGTGCAAAATCTTTTGTCTCAGTGCATTTGATAAGTCCACCTTCTGTTTTCTTTTTGATTTCCAAAATTCTCCAATAATTTGAGGTTGTCAAAGGATGCTAGGAACACCTTCAACAATTAATACATATAGGTGTGATGTTTTGTTGTTTGTGGGTATTATGGTGATGGTGTTGTTTTTGTTGACAGAATTCTCATCTGGTTCAAGGAAAATACTTATTGCATGGCTTTTCTTCTTCCTTGGTTTCTTTTTGATGGTGGTAAAATGATCATTAACTGTGGCAAAGTTAGATTTAGATAAAGACAAGGCTAACGAGTCTGTCTCTGAGTCGAACAGGACAGTGTTGCAAATAGACCAGTCAGTATCAGCATTACACTCTGCTGCTGACAGCAAGGTGTGGATCTCATCTAGGTTTAATGCTGCTCTAGCCAAAGCCTTGTATGTGCTCAAAATCTACATATTTTGTGTTTTAGGTTAGATCTCTTCTGTTGCTGATTCCAAAATGAGAGTTCCAATGCAAGTCTAGTCTTACTAGAGGGTGTATTTTACTATACTTGGCGTGCAGGCCAAGTTGGTTAAAATGAAAACATTGAATACGATTGGCCAAGATTGCTGTTCTGTATAAAAGTTTACAGGTCATTGACTGTTTGTTTCCCTAAGATACTATGTTACATTATCATGGTCTGGGATTGTTTTTTCCAATGTAATGAAAGTTCCCGGGAAATTAAGTGTCAAAAATTAGTTGCATAAAGATGCAAAATTACCAACTAAACATTAATTGTACTTTTTGGAAATAAATTGAGTCTTTTTGGGGGGGGGGGCTTTGTGCATCAATATTGTCATAATTGGATCTTTTTTGAGGGTCTATGTATTGTTTTTTTGGACAACCTTCAAACAGCCTCCAATACAGATCAGATTGTCCCCAGGACAACCTGGAAATTTCATTAAAAACAAGCCCTGCTATTATTTTTACATTGGTTGTGGGAACTGTTTTGGAAAGTCTGTTAAAAGATGTTCTATAGTAATTGAACCCATTTGTGTGCACTTTGATAAAAAGGAGACAATCAGTTAAAGCTCTGGATACCATTGTGGTAACCAAAAGTTATAGTGGTGATTTGAAAGTGAGTATCACAGCCTTGTATTGTAACAACAGAGTAGAGGAGAATAATTTGATCTGTCTAAGGGTATTCTAAAGTAATTGAACCTACCTCTGTGGACTTTAATGGAAAATGAGACAATTATTTAAAGCTCTGGATACAACTGTGATAACCAATAGTGTAACAAAGTTTTGTACATAAGTTTGACTAGTTTTCAGTATATTATTTCAAAACAAGTGGATTGTGTGCTGTCCATTTATTGTTGAAATTTATTGCCAACAAGTCACAGACACTTGCTGTAAAGAATCCTGCTCTTACAAAACCCAACACTAGTTTGTAAATGCAAAATATTTTGGAAATAAATTTGAGAATGAAAGACGTGAATTCACATCTAATTAAAATATGTACGGTATCTCTCGTGGCTTTAAAATTCATGATTTTCAAACCCTTTGCATGATATTTTATAGTTTTTTAAGTACCTCTTTTTAACGTTTTAGCCCTAAAATGGAAAAATATTTCTTGTCTCCTTCAGATGTTGAACTGATGATGATGTTGACTTTGTGTGAATAACTGGTGGTTTGACATGTGTGAATTAAACAGGAAATCATTTAAATAAAATTTGTTTTTTATAATCATATTTCAGAAATTCACTAGATGTAACGTGAAAACATAATCATCAGGGTCTGCTTTTCCAGACAGATGATAACTAATCCAGTATTATCAGGAAAGGAAGATTTTATGGTCTTAAAGTAGTAAGTATATTTTAATAATCTTGGTTTTTACTAACAAGCAATTTTTTGTTGGAAATATCTTCATTGCTATTAACCCTCTTACTATAAGTAGGTCAAAGTGTGCATGTCATAATGTTTTACAGGGTTACAATCAAAATTTAATTTAACTATTTTATTATCAATCTGTGTGAATAAATGTCAACATTAGAATAAATGTTAGAATCAAATTCTAACATTATATAAGTTTTAATTTCTTAATTTTAAAAGAAAATATTTACATAAATCCTCAGTATCCCCTTGTATGAGAATTGTGACATTTGTTCTCTAGGTCGTGCCAATTCTCTAACTTATTTACCATCCCTCTCTGTAGTATGGATTTTAATGTAAGTTACACATTATAACATAGATGCTACTGAAACAAAGTTTAATTTTTATAGCTTTCAATCTTTGTTTACAAAAACCTAAACTAAAAAGTTAGACTCCCTTGTTATGCGCACCTGTCACATCCTCTCTTTCACAAATTCCCAATAATACTTACATTTTATATAATTTATAACCAATAGAAAGACAGTTTTAATCTATCAACAAACATGTAATGTTACAACATTTTCAGGACAGAGTATTATCAATTTCATCTACAGTTTGAAAGTATCTTGCACTGTTCAGATTGAGCAGCTAATGGTATTATTTAAGGCTCTGACAGTGATGCCTTGGTTAGAAAGCCAGTTAAATTATAATAGTCATTGGGCACTATATACATTGTGCATGTTGTTATTCTGTGTTCTTAGGTGCATTCTTTAAATAAACAAAAATTATTTAATGTACTCGTACTATCATTACAGAAAAAGTAGGCTTAAATTTCATCAGCAACTGACAGTAAAAAAAAATATCAAACATAAGGACTGTATTTCTTGTTTTTCATGTACATTTTTTATTTATTACTATAAAAGTAACTAAAATGTAAAAATTATATTTTTATTAGAAACTTGTTAGGTTAAATTAGGTTAGATAATGAAAAATAATAGTTCCCCATGAGGTAAGCTTGCAAATAGCTCGTGTATTATATAACATCATTCAGTATGGTAATTTGAGCTGTGTGTTCACAGTGATTTACAACTTGTATAGCAGGATTATTAGTTAGACATGCTTTAAAGGGCAGTAAAGATGTGTAAACTTATGAGCCTTAAGCTGTTTGAGATAAACAATCATAGTTTCCTGTTATAATTTCTATTCATGCTAAAAATTAAAAAATGGTTGTTTAGATTTGTTTTAGATTTTGTTTTGATGATTTTTGCAAGGTTGGTCAAATTGATTAAGTCCATGTAAAGCTAGTGTAGGGAAAATAACAGATAAAATATAAGAGGTTAACTGATAGAAAACTGTTCCCTTTTTGTTTAGGATGTAGTAGAGGCTACACAAATGTAATTTGAAAATTTTTCAAATGCAGAAAAGTTTGCACTTGGAGCAGTCAACAACCTGATTCCATATATACACAGACAATTTTTGTCAAAATACTTGATTAAAAAATCTTATTTTTAGTGTACAAAAGATTTCTAATGTTTACTGAAAGCTTCCCAAATTTCTTGAAGATACATATACCATATTAAAAGTTATAGTATGGATACTCTCATGATTACTTGGTGGCTAAAAGGTTGATGAAAAATGAAGTGGTTGACAGTCATCATATTGAACTGAATTTGTACCTTTATTTTCTGTAAAATATCTGTGAAAAAAACCAGATATTTCTGAATTTTCACCTACACGTGAATATCCCTAAATTTATGCTTAAAACTTGTTTTTTTTTGTTTTCTTGGACTGAAAAGTGTGTAGTGGAGTTTAGCCTGCATTTTTACATTGGCATTGTAGGCTTTATATACACACACACACACACACACACACACACACACACACACACACACA